GGGGGTTTGCAGTTCGGTTTATCAGCAACATATTCAAGTATAGGCTATTTTCTTTGAGTTCAGTTCGACTGACATCTCTCACATGAGCAACCCCTCTGGAACCTAATTTCATGCTTGTGGCAAGAACCTGATGCCACATTTTCGAGTTGTCCAGAATAACAGGAACTTTGTCTGATATGAGCTCCAAATCATACAGAGAATCCATAAAACAAGAGCTAGCTGCCCACCTGACAATAGACACAACAATGGTGGAAATGTCTATAGAGAAATCATCTTGTTACTGCTATATTTCATCTATATGAGAATATGCAATAAACAGTGCAAGTTGAATATTGTAGTTTACTTTGAGACAATAATAACTGGTGTGGTGATAGAACTGGGCAACAGACAGAAATCCACTGTTATTACGCTTTCGTTTACTTACTTTATTCAAATCATAGGCTATTTTCAAAATGTGGAAAATTGTAGGGAAAGGAAAAAACTTAAGGATCATACTTTTTTACTTGTGGTTTTGGGTTTTACCTCGACAAATATGAAGGAAAGCCAAATTTGATTAAGGTTCTTTACAATTCTTACATTAGTTACATATGTTAAGATTTCCATAATTGATTTAATGAGTTTGGACCAAAACTTCCTTTTTCCTAAAATTTCCTTCCCTTTCAAGTTTCCTCTCCATTGTCTTCCCTGTCATCTCTCCCTAAAATTTTGTGGGTTCTAAACGGACCCTTAGAGTCTGGGTGGGAACAAAAAGAAAACTGAATTTCTAAAAAAGGAGAAAATGTGTAGTTGAAAAACAAAAAACAAAACAGAACGCACCCTTCTTCAGAACCTGAATTGGCATAATGATGAAGAATCCCTTTCTTGTTGTGTATTGGGTTGATGCACATCCTGGAAGGCATCACAAATGTTCTGCAACAAGAACAAAAGGGCCAAATTAAATCTTCTTGGGGGGGGGGGGGGGGGGTTAAACGATCCATATTATGAGAACTTCTATTAATAACAGAACAAAGATTTTTAAGATCATCAAACAACCTACACTGCCTCAGGAATAGCATTGCCGACAAGATATAGTCCAAAATCACAATATCAAAAAGTCAAAATACCCCATGTCTAAACATAATGTAGCTGTTACAGTACTACACGCTCCTAACATTTAGGCGATATTGCTCCTCAAATAATCAAATATCAAATGTGATGATTAATCATTCATTAGACTAAGGAATTTACTGGTTGGTGTTTTTAAGAAGGAAGGCAGTTTTGTTTTACTAATTTACTCCTATTTGTTACACTTAGACCAGAAATAGCTACTCTTACAGTCTTATACGATAGTATGTTTTATTTAAATTGTGTATTTCTAGATACTTTTCATCCTCTCTTTTCCTTCTAAAATGTAAACGTTAGAGTAAAATCATTTAATAAACCTAATACCCGCCCTCCCCTCCGAAATCCTTCAACCATACAAGGTCTAAAATCTGTATGAGTTTATCATATTTTGCCAATCCAATATTCTTATATCCAATTTAGAACAATACGGTATCTTCAATCAGACACACCTTAAACTTTCTCAGATACAGAAACGTAAAAGAACAAGCTCAAATTCAGAAGAAAACATTTGATTCCAAAATTTTACTACCTCTGAAGGTACAACGCTTCTTCAAGGGAGCACCGGAGGCTGGACTCTTGGTGACCGAGACCCGCACAGGAGTCGCAATGCTTCCCAGGGCAGTCAATTCTGCTGCCCCAATACAGGAATTTGTCATGTCCTTTACGCGGTCTGTTCCTGGAGTGAATAACTATGAGGTCCCGTATGGATTTGTTACTGGAAAGGGAGAAGAGATTTGTGGAGAAAAAGGAAGAGAAGAGGAACAAGAAAGCAATGGCGGCTATTGACAAGGTGAGTATGAGGATTGATCTGGATTTCGGCTTCACCCTCTGGCCTCTGTGGATCACCATGTTTTACAGACTTTTACTACACCTGTTTGTGGAGCAAGAAGAGACATTTTCTAGTGCAAATTTATTAATTAACTCATGTATATCCATTTAAGATGCATTAATTATACTCCGTATATATTTATTTAATCTATAAAAAGCACAGTATCTTTGTGGGAGATACGAAAAGAAATGACAATAAAATTTTGGATGAAAAATAATACGTAGTAATACTCCGTAGTAGTAATGACAATAAAATTTTGAATGAAAAATGTTATTTGTACACGCTTTTTTATAGTCGAACAATTTGTTTGTGCATAAACAATTTTTCTTGTTTTGTAAGTGGATTTGTGTCTCACACTGACACATTATTTTTTCTTGAGACAAAATGTCCAACATGTAAAATGGTATGTACAACCGGCGTGTACACGAGAAATAGTTCATTAAGATATTGTCGGTATTAAAATACCTCTCTTTTGAAAACTATTTTCAGGCTATATCAAATTTAATTAGGTTGAACCAAAACTAAAATAATAGATTAAGTTGTCTGAGATTTTGATGATAATAAAATACATACTACCTCCTGAGTTTACTTCCATAATAAAGTGGCACACGGATTAAGAAAGTGAGAATTGTGTAGTAGAGAGTGTTGGAAAAATGTGTGAAAAATTGCATTAAATGGCTATTTTGGGGAAATTTTTTGAGTGGGGTCCACTTCCGATTTGGGTCGGGTCAAAGTGGTTTCGGATTGTCCTTGTTAAGGGCTACAATTCGATATATGGTACGCTCAAAACGGATAACGGGTGAATGAGAAATCGCTTTTCGAAGTTTACCCGTTAGAATGGAAAAACTGGGAAAAAGGATGAGTTTCTAGTGTGTTAATTTTCCACACCAGAAAACCTAAGGGATTTGCAACCCTTTATAAAGGGACTCCCCCCTTAAGGAGTTAAGATTCCTTAGGGTAAAGGCTCTCTCCACGCGCGCAGGGGGGGTGCAAATCAAATCCCGAACTCGGAGAAGAAAAACCGCGACTTGCGTGCGCGGGCGACCTGCGGACACGAATGTCGTCGAAAAATTCTATCTTCTAAAGATAAACGCGTACCAGAACCCCTCGGGGTCTTCTGATGGTCGCGGACCAGAAACCCTCACAGGGGTCTTCTGTTGGCTTCGAACAGAAACCCTCGTAGGGTGTTCTGTTGGGAGGTCTTCTGAACCGTTACAGCAATAAATGCCCAACGTTTATATGTTTTAATGCAGCGTTAAATGGACAGTTCATGAACGATTCAATGCCCAACGGACTGGTCATTGATGTCTAACGTTCAGGTCCATTAATTCACCATTTACACACAACAAATCCTCCTATACAATGGCTGGCAGGTGGTTTGCAACAACAGACGTTCTTACACGAATTCATACACTCCATGCACGTTTTGCACCTCTAAAAACACACTGCTAGCAATCTGCAAATTCCTTCTGTGTTCAGCCTGTGTTCTCGTTCGCTGGAACTCTTGTTTGTGTGCTCAAACATTAGTTCGTAGTCATCGTATCCTGGGAAACTATTGTTGCAACGCTCCTAGCACCGTGGGAGGCAATAAATACGTTTTAAGGACATCGTGCGTAGCAAGAGCTTTGACTAATTCTGCTTCATCTCCTTTCTTGTTTTTCTCTAGTCATTTTATTTAATTAATTTATTTTAATTAATTTTCTTTATTTTCCGAAACACACCCAACAGAGAGTTGTGCAGAGGAGAGAGAAATGCTCTGAACCACAAATTCTTTGTCAAAAAAGGAAAATGAAGTTCTTTTTGGGACGGACAAAAAGGGAAAGTTGGAAGTATTTTCAGGGAGGGGGCCGGGGAGTACTGTATAATATAAGATCTTATTATATCATAAACACAATAATTCAAACTAGATCGTACTCAAGCATACAAAATATTCATATAAGGGCGGTTTACACAACACTAAATCAAGTCTCATTTACAAATTTCAATCCAAACGAAAATGTCGTGAACGCTCATTATTTTTCTTAATTAGAATGTCACTCGTGCAGTGCTCGGAGTTAGATCTTTTTCAAAATAGTGATTAATAGATTTTTGATAAAAGTTTAAAGATATAAAAATATATTGAAAAACTCTGTATAAAATTAGATAATGCAACAGTATAAGTGTATAACCCATCACAAACACAAAGTAATATGTATTCCCTAATATGATCTTCAAGTCTTCTTAATTTATACTTCGTGTCATTACACAATCACATAGAGTGATTAGGTACTCAAGAATCGATAAAATCTTCTTAATAGCATTATATATGAGTGTTAACTTTTAAGGTCAATTTAGATTACGTACTCTAAATAGTCTTATATGCTACTTAAGAATTAAAGTATTTGCAAGGCGTCAATAAAATTAATAATTGGATCTACTGTGCACATGTACACTATATTCTATGTGTAAGTCAACTTTGATGGAATTTTGCAAGACGGAGTAAGTATGTGTTTAAAAAATATAAGACAAATTAAAGTATAAATAATACTTGGTATATTCCATCTTTAAGTAACACAAAATATACAATGTTATGTATTAATGAAGATCTAATATTTAAAATGTATGAGAAATTGAACTTTCTTTTCATAGTATTTAATGTCAAGCAGGTGTTATACTTGGGAAAATAGATACTCAACGTGTCCTACACTCATATATGTAAATATTTCAATTTTATTATATGTTTATAAAGAACTAACTCAAGTAGAACATGTCCTAAAAACGTGTAAAGGTGTTGTTTCTTTTCATTTCAAATTGAAGTTTAAAAAAGAAGAAGCTTTTGCACTATTTTGGTTTAGTCCTTCGGGTCCAATTCATTAGTTCTTTAAGCGAAAGGCATTTCGTAAATTTAAACAATTCATTTTATGTAGCCAAACATAGTTAATGCTTAGCAGAAAGTCCGACTATGATTTACCTGATAAACTAAAAAAATTGTGAAAAAAATGTATAGTTATAAATTACTTTGACATGTATTTTTCCAGAAGAAAAAAGAAGTCTGAAGGCTGAGGCCATGGGATATGCATACCCTATGTAGAATGATAATAATAATAATAATAATAATAATAATGATCATAATAATAATACTCTGTAATATATAGTGCACAAGGAATGCACCAAACATCATTTCAGTCAGCACTGCTCTCTTTTCTCACCCCCTACATACATTTTGTAATTTGTACGTAGTATTTCTTATCGATTGTTCGATCTGTACATTTCTATACCCCTCATGGACTTCCATAATAGTTGAAGAAATCAAGAAAAGAAAAGAAAAAAGAAAAACAGACAGAGACACCGGAAAAGGTGAGGGAAGTCATTGCAGCTTCTTGTGATCCTAAAAAATAAGTATGTGTTGTGTTTGTGCTTCTCAGGATTTAAAAAAATCTATGAGATATAACTAATGGTGAGTGGTGACTGGGGGCCAGTTACGCATAAAAGCCACCCTTTTGAAGGGCCCGCGCAGAAATGCCATGCAAAAGGCGAACAAACCCCAAGAAACTGAGCATTCCGTCCGAATGCCTGATCCAATCCTGCAGAACTACATGAATTGGAACCGAAGGACTAAGCCCGAGCTCCTGCATTGACATCAAAGTTAAAGTGACATCGGCAGCATGAGTGAAAAGGTTTACACACAGGTTACAAATTAAACAGATAACCTCACCAAACATGAAAAGAATTCGCAATTACTACCTCCGTCCCTACATTATACGTGTTTTTCTTTGTCTCCCTAAACTATCCCTCATTTCCTTTCAAGAAACGCACATTGTGGTTCACATTATTTCTCTCTTAGAAATAAATACCAGCCACACAGTTTTCTTAAACTCTGTGCTGGTCAAACTTGCATGTTAAATTAGGGATGGAGTGAGTACTAGAAAATCCATGTTCTTATCTAAATTGAGGATACATATATGAGTAGGAAATGGCACCAATAGCGAAACCGCCACTATAAGGGTGGAGTAAAGTAGATGTTGGAAAACAATATAATCATCTATATTTCTTTGAAATAGAATCCTTATGGGTAGAGTCCACAGATTTGTGATTACAAATGACAAAAGTGTGGAACTGAGGACTATTAGTGTCACTTTTATAGTTTTATTTTCTTGGTCTCCGTGCCTAGTCACACTGGTTTCTGTTTGGGGACGGAAGGAGTACGAAGTTCCTGACATCTTTGTGGAGACTAGACCACAGCGACGCCTAAATAGTCCCTTTGGTGGAGAAAACTAAATTTGTGAATGAATTCCACACTTCACCTTAATAAAGATGTCAAAAATGGAAAACTTTGAGTTTGTTCCTTGCAAAATAATATAATGATATGATAGTTTTACTAATCAGACAGAGAGAGAGATGGAGCATACAGAGGCAAGTTCATCAATCATAATAGGCCTGTTTCCATCCTTTTCAAAAAACTCATAGCCTTGTCGAGCATGCTCTTCCCACCTTTCCGCTCCTTCTAACTGATAAACACTTAGAGAAGCACCACAGAATTCCTCAAAATCCATTTTTCTATAATGGATACAACTAACCTGCACACCAAAGAAAGAAACAAATACCATTCATTGTAGTGTAATTTTATAGGCTAATGTTTTAGCATGGCAATGTATAAAAATCACATCTAGGGGCAAGGGAAAGAGTTCCCAAATGAATCTGACCGCATTGACAAAATCCAAAACCCCAGAGTCCTTGACGGCATCAGTGGCAGATTTCGCCATAGCCTGCCAAATCACATTTTTAGCCTTTCATTAAGATCTGAACATTGGGGATTTTAAAAACAAACAAAGTTAAAAAACTTGGCAAAGAAAAATCTAACCGATTTGAAGTTTGGTAGAGATACACATCCACTTTTATTTGGCCCTAACAAAGTAAATTGTTCTCGGAAATAAGTTAACTGTGGTACCGTCAGTGTCTTTGCAAGAGCCTGTCACATTTGTAGCCAAAAAATTTCAAAATCATCATGTACTCATAAACGAATATCAAAGATTTAAATTTATCAGCATCAAAACATTGACCACGGTGTGTACTGAATATATCCATTTCTTTTAGATTCTTTAAGGGTATGTTTGGATCCCAGAAAATGCCGGGGAAATGAAAACTAATGCTAGTGTCTTATGTTTGGTTAAGGAAAGCGAAACATGATTTTTTTTTTACGTACATATATTTAGATTTCTTAGTTTTTACATAATAGAAATAAATTATAAAATTGAGTATGAACACATATCTTTAATAAATTTTATGATTTTGAGCTAATCCTTTATTGTCCTCTCTTTTATCTTTCCGGGTACTTTGACCCCTAAAACATAAAAGAGATTAAACTTGTTGGGGAAAATAAAGACATACCCTCAGTGCAGCTTTCCTTATAGAAGTGGAGCATATGTAGGCTTTTACATGCTTGAATACAATCACATCCAGAGGAATTCTCACATCATGCTGACCATCTACCCAAGGATGACCTAATAGAATGGGGGGGGGGGGGTAGCCCTCTGATATTAGTTCATAATTATTTTCATTATTTTCATAATTGTCAGTAAGCAACATACACAAAGCCTGAGCAGCGGTTAGCCTCTTGCGGTAATTCTTGTTTAATAATCTCTTAACGAAGTCTTTTGCTTCAGAAGAGATTGTGGGCCAAGGAGCTTCATCAAAGTTTGGATCAGCCTTAAGGACAGCCCTAAAGATTCCTGATTCTGACCGGGCCCAGAAAGGTCTGCTTCCACAAAGAAGTATATAAGCAATAACCCCTACACTCCACATGTCAGCTTCTGTTCCATATGATCTGTGTAAAACTTCAGGTGCCACATAATATGCGCTTCCAACAATATCATTTAGCCTTTCATCTGTGAAAAAGAAAAAAAAAATCTACTATGTTAATGCATCCACTTAAATAATAAGCAAAAGTTGACAGCTACGTTTAGAGTGCAGAAAATGTTAGGGAAGGGACAACTAAAAAAGGAAAGTGTATCTTACAAAGTGGGACGAAGGAAGTACATAGTACATAACTAAACATAAAATGTCATGCATTTCTAGAAATGCATTGCATTATACAATATCACAATGTTGCTAGGACGAAATATCATAAAAACTCACTAAAAAGTTTTAAAATATACACTATTTTAAGATATCCCATCAAAAAGAAAAAACAGGAAACTCAAAACTTCCTAAACGTTAATTATCTAAGGAAACGTGTTTTCCAAATCTTTTTAATTGCAGAAACGGCCCGAAACGGGAATTTAAACTTTCTGACACACTTCCAAGTTTCTGAAATGGGGAAACGTATGATGTGGGAAGTTTCCATGCTTCTTAGTCTACTTCCCTCCCTGTTGTTCTTTCTCTTGCAATTTATGCGTTCCAAACGTCCTATAAGTACTGGGAATGAAATTACCTGGTCTCACATAATCAGAAAGTCCAAAGTCAATGGCCTTTAGAGGAGAACGCTCATCCTTTGATGCGAAAAGAAAATTCTGAAGGAAATATTTGTGAACCATTAAGGAAAAAATCAGCCAAAAGACATATTGGATAGAGAAAATTCTATTATGCATGCATAGGCAATCTATATGAAAGTAAAGCATGGCAGAAGCTACAAAGTACTGCACACCTCAGGCTTTAAATCACGGTGAACCACTCCTTGAAGATGACAATATGAAACTACGTTTAGAATCTGCACTATAACAACTTTAGCGTCTTCTTCCGAGTATTTGCCACCTCTTCATTAAAAATTAAAAATATATTAGTTCGTGAATGGAATAGGGAAGAAAATGTGCCCCATTGCCCGCACAAAAAAGAAAGAAAGATATGCACCTAGAAAGTATCCTGTCAAGTAATTCCCCTCCTTTACATAACCTGTTAACATAGAAAGTAAATAGAGACTTAGAGCAATGAAAAATAAAATCACAACACAGCACCACAAAGAGTCCAATGGCAAGCTCTATTGTATAAAGGCTCACAAGAATATATAAGAGCAGTTTTTTGTTAATACTACCTACTGCCTAAGTAGAAAGCCATACTATATCCACATTGTAATTTAAATAGTTTGAAGAATCAGTTCAAACTCACTCCATTACTATATAGACATTTTCTTCATCATCGTATGCATCATAGAACCGTATTAGGTTTCTGTGCCCCTTTAGAGCACGTAATATTTTGACTTCTCTCCTGACATCTTCAATGGCTATTGCTGTAGTCATCTGCAAAAGAAATCCTTGATAAGAAATTAAGAATGAAATTACTAAAAACAGACCAAAAAGCTATGGCATGTTTACACATAAAAGGTAAAAACAGAAACAAAAAACAAAGGTTAAACTTGTGGAATCTGAGCTGAGAACAATTTGTCATATACTATTCAATTTACCAGAAAAATCCAGTGATACTGTGAACTGGTGAACCCCCCTTATCCAGTAATACTTGTTACAATTTCCTTGATCCATTAGTCAAATTCCAAAATTAAATACATATCAACTTACTTATGATTTATGAAGAAATAAAATAATCCATCCAACAAGTGAGAAATGGACAAAGGATATGCTGCAATATTCTGAATAATCTTTGGTTTAGCTCATATAGTGAAAATGTGGATAAAATCAAATCACGCATGATGTTAAATATTATGATAAGTAAGTGTAAGAATGCTAAAAACCTTTAATTTATTGATGACTTTTACTGCAACCTCCTGGCCCTTCAAGTTCCCTTTCTTTCCCTTAGCAGCACAAGTATACCCAAAATGCCCCCTTCCCATTTCTTCCCCAAGCTCAAAGTGGCTTTCGAAATTCTTGGAGAACCCAAATTTTTTATCCAGTCCCACATCGCACTCGGGGATTGTGGCTTCATTAGGCTTCACTGAACCATGTCTCCTAGCCAGCAATGCCCGTATGTGTTTTGCTGGAGAAGGCGGTGGAAATGGCCTCTTGAGAAGACGCAGAGGGGTGGAACTGACATTGGAGTTAGCAGGTGAGTTCTTGAAAGCGCTGGGAAGAAGTGGGCTTGGGCTGTAAAAGGGGAATTTCGGTGTTTTACTGGAGTGGGAATTCAATGAAGGCTCCTCTTTGTTACTGGGGATTTTAGAGAAGGTTTGTAGGGAATCATTTGGTTTTCCATTACACTGTCCCATGGAATCAAAAACCCAAATTGCTCAAACTTTCACAAAAAAAGCGTGATCTTGAGCTTTCTTGATCGCTGCCTTCAAGCAACTGCTAGGTCATTATTATGTGGAAAGTTGAAATCTTTGAAATGGATATCCGGAAATTTTTAATAACTCATGGAGGAATCAGAGTTAGCAGTTAGCTCTTGGCGAAAGTTAATTGCAAGACTTCAGAAGCCTCTTTCTGGTTATATCATATGAACAAATGCCACAGTAACAAATCTATACAAGGAGACAGTCAGGCAGAGAATCCAGCAGTTGATGGTGGTTCAACAATGGAAAAGCTAAAGGCGAAAGACAAGCAAAGAGAACTCAAGACCAGAGAAAAATGAAACTAGAATTAGTAGTTTTGAAGAACTAAGGTCAACAATGGGTTCGAAGAAAGAGGGAGAAATCGAATAAAGGATGCTAAGCAGTAGCAGCAAGAAAAGAAGTTGGGGTGGTTTGAGGGGGAAAAGAAAGAAAAGAAGCCATCCCTCCTCTGCTTTTTTTTTTTCCTTTTTGAAGCTTTTTTTTCTTTTCAAATCGACTTGCTATGCATATGTTTGACTACCAAATTTTCATATGTACTTAAATTTCAGGTCTGATTTAAATAATTTACTCCAATTTATTAGAGCATCTCCAATGTTAAAACGTGAACGGTGCATACGTGACATGAGAGACAACCAATTAAAAAATAATAAATAGAATATCTCTCTCATTATTTGAAGGATCTTGTATCACTTTGGTAAGTTTTTCTTCACAATGTCAAGCACAATGTCGAGATGTAGACATTGTGTTTGACATTGCAGAGCAAAACTTACCAAAAACAGATAAAACCGTGGAAAGAATGAGAGAGAAATGTCATAAATGTAAATTTTTGTGTCTATCTCTCTCATGCCACATGTGCACCGTGCACATTGTAGCATTGGAGATGCTCTTACTTCATCCGTTCTTTAATATTAGTCCTCTTACGCTTTGGCACAGGTTTTATGAGGAAAGTATATGAGTAGTGTAAAAGGTGTAATGAGTAGTGGTAAATGAAAAAGTAGGAAAGAGAAAGAGGTAATGGTAATAAAAGTGGGGGTATAAAGATATATTGATTGTAAAAACTTTTCTTAAATGGAAAGGGCAAATAAGAAAAACGGCCCAAAATGGAATGGAGGACTAATAATAAAGAACGGAGGGAGTACTGTATACCGTTATCCGTCCATTTAATGATGTTTTTAATTGGACTTTAATTTGATGGTCTGGTCTATTTAAGTCTGGTCCGATCTTGTCTGTTTAAGTTTAGTCTGATCTGGTCGGAATAGGTCTGGTGAACATCTGGTCTCTGTGTATTTTATAACTATGCAAGTCAAGTTTGGTCTGGTCTAATCTGGCCTGTTTAAGTCTGGTCTGGTCTGTTCTATTTAAGTATGGTCTGGGACTGAAAACAATTTGAGTAAAAACATCCTAACTCTACTCTTATATGTTTAAATCATTAGGTCCGATAAATTTTGATCATGTGTTTATGAGTGGTGTTCTTGTCAAGCCGGCCTGACGGAACTGTCGTCCGGCCGAGTCCGTTTGAGGGTCTTCCGGATGGCGGATAGAGTTTTTTAATAAAATTTTTTTAGCATGTTCTTCATCAAGTCTAGTTTGTGCCTACTAAATTTGTTGGAAATATTGAGAGTATTTCAAATGAATAAACTATCTCTTATTATCTAATGATATTACTTTATTAATCAATTTTATAAATCTAATATTTTGGTATATTTCATTATAAAAAATATTTCTAATGAATGTCTAATAATAAATTTTAATCAACGGATGTGTTGGAGTAAAGTTGTGCTCAACGTTTAGTTTTCCAGACTAGAATTTTGAGTCTTAGTCCATAAGTGCTCAACGTTAGAATAAAATTGATCTATCTCAAACATTAATTTTATTTAATGCACGAACGTTTTTACCTGGCAGCAACGGCTCAATCAGTAAAGGCCACTAACGTTGGCCACCAACGTTTATATCTTTGAGCATGTATATATATGTGTGTTCGGCCAGAAGGTTTGGAAGAGAGATTATCATATTTCGTGCTCAACATCCCCAAATATATTATAACTCTGCTGAATTAATTTATTCTCATCTCGTTGTTCTGTTACCGGCTTACGCCGAAGAGCTCGTTATATCTTGGGGAAAGGTTTTCGCTAGTCGGAAATACTTTCTTGAGGACAGCGTCTGACGCATCTCGAGCTAGATTATTTTCTAAGTCTTTTTGCAGGTATATCCGGCCGAATTATTACAACAATCTCAAGAAAGTATTTGGCGTCGGATATGTCTGCACGTGTGATCTCACAAGGCGTTGTCGCTGCACTCATCACGGCTATGTTATTTTTGCATGTGTGGTGCGAATTGGACTGGTATTTGGATATATCTCTACGTATAATGCTTACTCTTTTCACTTCCCTACTTACAATAAGCCATACTTTAACACCATTTTTTAAGAAAAATAATATTCCTTTATTTAGTGGTAAAATGACAACTATGAAAAACAACCCACTAAAATCAAGTTTAAACTTGGTTAGTAGTGATGATAATTTTATTGCGGTTGTTTCTCAAAGTTGTAAAACTAATGATGTGAATGAGTGGGTGGTAGACTCCGGAGCTACCAAGCATGTTTGTAAAAACAAAAATGCTTTTACCTCCTATACTATTATAGGAGATGGTGAAGAGCTCGTGTACCTAGCGGACTCTAAAACCGTTAAGGTGCATGGAAAAGGCAGAGTTCTTCTTAAACTCACATCGGGGAAAACTTTATCACTAAATGATGTGCTTCATGTGCCCGAGATTCGGACTAATTTAGTTTCCGTTTATCTCTTGGGAAAAGTTGGGGTTAAAGTTTCTTTTGGTTGTGATAATTTCGTTATGACCAAAAATGATGTTCTTGTGGGAAATGGCTATTGTAAGAAAGGACTTTATATACTTGACATTTCTGAAATATTGCATGATAATGCTTCTATTTATTTAATTGATTCTTATGATGTGTGGCATGCTAGATTAGGACATGCAAGTAATTCTTATATTAAAATGCTAAATGATTGTGGTTTGATTTCTTTTAAAAATAAAACGACACATGAAAAATGTGGCGTTTGTGTTCAATCTAAACTAACTAAAAAACATTGTCCATCCATATATAGGGAATCGGAATTGCTTAGTTTAATTCACACGGATTTAGGTGATTTAAAAAATACCATGACTAGAGGTGGTAAAAAATATTATGTCACCTTTATAGATGATTTTTCTAGATACACTAAAGTTTATTTGCTTAAAAATAAAGATGAGGCTTTTGATAAATTTTTAGTGTATAAATCCGAGGTAGAAAATCAATTAAATAAAAAGATTAAGAGAGTTAGATCGGATAGAGGGGGTGAGTTTATTTTATTAAATGATTTTTGTGAAAAAGAAGGGATTATTCATGAGGTTACTCCGCCATATTCACCCGAATCTAATGGAATAGCTGAAAGAAAAAATAGGACACTAAAAGATATGATGAATGCTCTTTTAATCAGTTCTGGTGCACCTGATAATCTTTGGGGGGAGGCTATTCTTTCTGCATGTCACCTACAAAATAGGATACCCTATAAGCACAATAAGAAAACCCCTTATGAATTGTGGAAAGGTCATGCACCTAATTTGAAATATTTGAAAGTGTGGGGGTGTTTAGCTAAGGTCTTATTGCCTGATCCCAAGAAGAGGAAGATCGGTTCTAAGACTTCTGATTGCATGTTTATTGGTTATGCTGAATCTAGTGCTGCTTATAGATTCCTTGTTTTGCAAAGTGATGTGCTTGAATGTGATACAATTGTTGAAACAAAAAATGCTGAATTTTTTGAAAATGTGTTTCCTTTGAAACGAGAACACACGACCGTTGCACCATATAGTGAGTATGACCCATTACAAGGAAATGAAACCTTTAATGATGAACCCTCTAGTGATAGTGAGCCATTAAAAGAAAATGATTCTTTTAGTGATGAACCTTCTCTTTTGAGAAGAAGTAAGAGGCCAAGGATAGAAAAATCTTTTGGAAATGATTTTTATACATATCTTGTTAATGATGAACCTTTAACTTACTCACAAGCTATTTCTTCCAAAGAAGCTCCTTTTTGGCTTGAGGCCATACAAAATGAAATTGATTCTATCAAACAAAATAAAACTTGGATTTTAACTGATTTACCGAAAGGTTGCAAACCAATCGGATGCAAATGGATTTTTAAAAAGAAATTAAATCCGGATGGTTCAATTGATAAATACAAAGCGAGGCTTGTGGCGAAAGGTTTTTCTCAAAAACAAGATGTTGATTATTTTGACACATTTGCACCGGTAACGCGTATTTCTTCTATACGAACTTTAATTGCCTTGGCTTCTATTCACAAACTTTTTGTCCATCAAATGGATGTTAAAACTGCGTTTTTAAATGGTGAGCTAGAGGAAGAAATTTATATGGTGCAACCGGAGGGTCATGTAGTTATTGGTCAGGAACACAAAGTGTGTAAGTTGATCAAATCTTTATATGGTTTGAAACAAGCTCCAAAACAATGGAATGAAAAATTTGATGAAGTGTTATTTGCTCATGGTTTTACCTCACTAGAAGTAGATAAGTGTGTATACACTAAATGTGAAAATGGTGTGTGCATTATTATTTGCTTATATGTGGATGATATGTTAATTTTTAGTAGCAACCTTGATTTAATAAATGAGACAAAATCCTTTCTTGCTTCAAAATTTGTTATGAAAGATTTGGGGGAAGCAAAAGTGATTTTGGGTATGAAAGTCATAAGGAAGGATGATGGTATTATACTATCTCAAGAGCATTATGCTGAAAAACTTCTAAAGAGGTTTGGACACTTCGATGTCAACCCTGTGAGCACCCCTTATGACTCTCATACACATTTGAAAAAACATAGAGGTGATCCCGAGGCTCAATATGAGTATTCCCAAATTATTGGAAGTTTATTACACTTGATGAATTATACGAGGCCCGACATAGCTTATGCTGTCGGAAGATTGAGTAGATATACTCATAATCCAAGTGGGGATCATTGGACCGCGTTGAGGCGGTTACTTAGATATTTGAGAGGTACCATTAATTATGGTATATTTTATAGTGGGATACCCGCTGTACTAGAGGGATACAGCGATGCTAACTGGGTCTCTGACTCAGATGAGATAAAATCCAACACTGGATATATATTCACCCTTGGAGGTGGTGCCATTACGTGGAAATCAACCAAACAAACTATAATTTCTAGATCCACTATGGAGTCCGAGCTTATTGCTTTGGAAGTAGCCTGTAGTGAAGCGGAGTGGTTGAAATCTTTCTTAGCAGAAATTCCGGTTGGTACAAAACCAATACCATTTGTGTCTATTCATTGTGATTGCAGAAGTGCAATAGATACTGCTAAGAAAATGTGTTATAATGGGAAGAATAGACACATTCGTTTAAGACATAAAGTCATTAAACGATTATTGAAGAATGGAATTGTGTCCATTA